GGTGGGAAGAAGAGGCGCTTCTTCTTCCGAGCGGGAGCCGAGGATGTGGTGGTGGGATGCGCGGGTGACGACGCTCTTCAAGAGGAACCTCCAGCCCACCCTGACCTACTGGAGCGTCTTCTTCAGCTTCGGCCTGTGCATCGCCTTCCTGGGGCCCACCCTCCTGGACCTGCGCTGCCAGACCCAGAGCTCCCTCTCGCAGATCACCTGGGTGTTCTTCTCGCAACAGTTCTGCCTGCTGGTCGGCAGTTGCCTGGGAGGCGTCTTCAAGAGAACGTAAGCCAAGCCAGACCGGCTCCCCCTCCCTTCCTCGCCCTTCTGCTTCCCCAAAGAGCCCCCTCCCCCCCTTCCACACCCTTCGGTGCGTTTTTTTGCTCTCCCTTCTGAAGCATCGCATGCGAACTCCCTCCTCCTTCCCCCCCCCCTTTCCTCCTGGAGCTAGAATGCTGCTGGGAAGCCCGTTCGCTCTCACTGTGTTTTTATTTTGCCACCTCCTTGTCGTCTTTTTCGTATCCAGGGAGGCTGCTCTGCAATATGTGCCAGGCTTATCTGTCCTCGAAATCAGCGCCGAGCTTTTTCCCCACCTCCCCAATTATTGTCCCTTATCTTTCCTGCTACTGCCTCTGGTGCTTCATCTTACGAATCCAGCACAAATGTGTGCACTGCAGTTTCTATCCTCTTGACTAACTTGGGGGCCCTCTACAAAGTTAGGCGTACAAAGACCCATTGAAATCTGTCTGAATCTTCCTAAAATCTGGTTGCATAGCTGCAGACCTACACATGCTGGAGAAGGTAGCTTTCTGAGTACCTATACAGAGAGTCAGTATGATGTAGTGGACAAAGTGTCAGGGTAGGACTCAGGATACCTGGGTTCAAATCCTTAAACAGCCATGGAAACTCACTGGGCTTTGTCAGTTGTAAGCCACTACTTGAATATCTCACATACCTTGTAAACTGTATTAGGGCTACGGTAATTTGGATGCAACTTGATGACATATAGCAGCAGCAGCCTCAACAATACATAGGAGTAATCTGTCACCTGAGCAAGATGAGGTATCAAAAGAAAAATATGTTCTATTAAAACGACCATCTGAATAACTCTGGCACCCAGCATGTCGAAGACTAATGTGGCAACTGATATATTAATCTTTCTTCCTTTGAGTTCATGGCTCTTCCCTTACCCCTTTTTCCCCCAACAACCTTGGGAAGTAATCAGGCTGAGAGAGAGAGAGAGAGAGAGAGAGAGAGAGAGAGAGAGAGAGCGTGGCCCAAGGTTACCCCACAAATGTTCATGGATCAGAAAATGGCTCATGGGGGAACCTGGATCTCCCTCAAAATTATTGACCTCTTGTTGAGAATGCCACCCTCCTTGTGCATTGTTGTTTTTGAAACTTGGTGCATGGATGATAAAATCAAATCAGTACTTTGGGTGAATGTCAGGGTAGGGGGGAGATTGTGGTGGTAAATGACAGATAAACTACTGATATGTGGGGCCCAAGCCATATCAAATGTTGCAACTCACAATGTCAGTTCACTGCTATTTATTATCTTGACACCTCCAGCTTCCTTTGCTGGCAAAATGGTCCCCCTTCCCCCTTAGACAACTCTGGTCTTGGGTTCAAATCCTCAAACAGTTATGGAAACTCACTGAGCTGTGGCGCAGTAGCCTGAGGGGTTGAAGTGTAACAAGATAAATGAAAATGTATTTATATGTTTAAACTTTAAGCCACAAGTTACTGTATAGCAAAGTTAAGAATGAAACAGACTTGCAATGCTGTCAGAGTGGGAGAGGTCACTTATCTGAAAAAAATAGCTGTATAAACTACTTTAGAAAAACTTTCTTGGACTCGCAGCCAATTATTTCCGATTCAGAATGTCCAGGGAACAGCCATGTAAGCTGGCTATAGCAAAAATGATGATGAGACTAGTGGCACCTGAAAGGCTTACAACTTTTGTTTGGCACCTGACAAAGCAAGTGGCTGTCCATGAAAGCTGTGCTAAATGAAACTTGTTGGCATGTAATATGTCACCAGACTCTTTGTTCTCTTCCCATGGTCCTGCATAGTGAAGATCAGATTTTTTCCCCAGATTTGGTCAATGGTTCTTTTCAAGGCACAAGTTGGCTATTTGGTTCTTCGTGCTCAACACTTTGGGCATACATATATAACTTAAATGTTGTAAGCCTCCCAGAGACCTTCGGGTAGTGTGGGTGGCATATAAGTTAAATTAATAAATAAAATAAATATACTTCAAGACCTCATAGTGCATAATGGTAGACATTTGTATACGGTACTTTGTATACTTTGTATACAGTAAACTGTGAGTTAGGTAATTGGCTACAGAGCCAGATATTGGGAGTTTGGTTCCCCATTGTGCATTCCAGAAGAGCCTGCCTGTGTGGCCTTGGGTTCTGAATATTCTCTACCTGGAAGAATCCTGGAAAAGGGTCACCATAAGTCAGGCTACTAAAAACACATGAGCAAGAACAGAAAAAGAGAGGGGGGGGAAGTTGGCTACTGTTGGCATGAATGCCTTACTTAAAAAGAATTGGTTTCACTCTTGCCTCCTTCGCAAACTTACTATATTTGTTGTTTCTGTGGTTTATTTTTAGTTCACATCTACTTTGGCAATTTTCTCACATTTCTAGCCACCTCCCCTGCTTCCCTCCCCCCACTCCCAGTTGGCCTTAGCCTTAGCTCATCACTCCATATTTCTATTCCGCTTACATCAAAAAGGGGGGCACCTCTCCCCCACCATCCCCATGGCTTTATTCCCTTCAGGTTTTTTCCGTGGCCTTCATTTATCTCTCCTCTTGAATTATTTAGGGACATACCTTCAAAAGCATCCAGTGGGCTCATCTGAATAAGATCAAAGTAATCTTAGTGGTTCTTGATGGAACCAAAAAATTATTTAGAAGGTTTAAGGAAGAAGTCATGCAAAATGAGCGTTACAAAACTTATATAGCACTTCGTCATTTGAGTGGCTCCACAGAAATAGTCAAAGCTGCAAGTTTCTCTGCCTCTCTGTGTGGGACCCTGACTCTGTTGTAGAGATCATGTAGGCTGATTCTTATATCTGCCCATATGATGTCAGCATGGTTATCAAAGATTTTTCTTCTGTGGAGTTGGGTGCAAAATCTGGGAAACTGCAGCGCAAGGCACAATCCTGCAAAGATGTACATTGGGGTCCGAACAGAACACAGCAGTCCCTGATGGAGATCAACAGGGAATCCTTGGGCTGCAGAAATTCCACTGAGGTTTTCTCAATATGTTTTTGTAACCAAGGGGGTCTGTTATTTTTTTTTTTAAACTGTTTTAATAACCTTGATGTCAAAACTCAAGCTGTCCTCTAATCCTGTGGAAAGTTGGCAAGCAGCATACAGTGTCAAACAAGCTCTTAAAAGTTGATGTAGGGTAAGACAAAGCACAGTAAATATCCTACTTTCATACAGAGTCCCTGGAAGGGACAGTGTTATCCTTTAGAAATTGTCAGTGATCCCATCACTGGGGAGTAAGCTCTTTTCATTGAGATATCACATTAAAACAAACATTTTTTGTGGTAAGGTCTTGCCCCCACAATATGTCTTTAGTTGCTGTTGAGCATGCTTTGTTATAGGCATTTGGGAACATTTAACTATTGCCACCAACAGACTGACATTTAATTGACCTGCGGATAGAGAGGGGCTGATAGGACTTAGACCAGTGTTTTTTAAGGGGTAAATATATAACAGTGATTTGGCCTGGCAGCTGATAAATGCTTCTAATTTGTGTAATCACCTTCCTTTAAATATAAATTATTTTAATTCATGGGCTATATAAATAATATTTACTGGTCAAGTTATGTTTAGGTATGTTGCATGCATTAAGGCAAGTACATTAAGTAGACACAATGGGGCTGTAAGCAGAGAGCATGCTTATACAATGAGTGTATTCGATTAACATTAAATACACTAATTATTCTTTTCAGCTCAGCAATTATGAACTGGATTTAGAAACCAGCTATCATTGGTTGCCTTTAATTTACTGTTTTTCACACTGAATAGTAAATTAGAAGTACAACCTCTTCGTGTGCATTTGAACTTGCTGTGTTCTGTATCATAATTGGCATAAACCAGTTAAGCCATGGTTTGCTTAAGAGTGGGTTCTAGTATACCTTTGGACAGCTATTTTTGAAAAATGCATGCCCCTAGAAAAGATCCTGGATTGATTGTGCTGTAAAAATGAGTTTTATCCTCAGCTGAGCTCAGAGTAGGCCAAGAAATTATATGTCAAATTATATTGCTGTAGTTACAAGTTAGCATCATATAGAAAGGGATTTTGATTTCTTGATTGTACCCTGAGTAGAAACGCCATATGGATTGCAAACTCCAGCAGAAGGAGAACCTCGCTGTGTTGGTGCCTGCCCTGGTCCCATTCTTCCTAGTAGAGAACAGAATCTGATCCAAGAGTAGATAGAAGAGAAATAAAGACAGACCAAGGGATTGGAGAGCCTGGAATGCCAGGGCAACCCCATCTATTCCTGTTGGTGGACTCTATGTCCTGTCTCTGCCTGCAGTTACAGAGTTTCTGGGAATATGTAGGGTTGAAGTACAGGTAGTTGCTTGGTCACAGCAAAGCTCTCTGGTGGGCAGTGGATGGGAAAGAGTGAATTACATCTCCTCCGCAGAAATCCTGGAGACTGATGACCGGAGTTGATGCCATGAACTAATCTGTGCCTCATTTACTGACTAGTAACTATTTGTATTCCTGGAAGAGAGTTCTAGGTGGTGTTTCACTATCCAGAGAACTGTGTTTAGTGGGTAATTTGAAAATGCATGTAATAAAGGAATTGTTCTTTGGGTTTATATAATATTGCCGTCTGCCAGCACAGATGCAATATTGCCTAAACCAGCGTTAATTTATTTAATTTATGTTCCACTGATTTCATATTTGTTCAAAGCCGCTTTACAAATATATATATTTCAAATATATAAATGAAACATCAGATTGGTAGAAGGCATCCTACTCTAATGAAACATATTAACAATAATTAGTTGTTAGACTTTCCCTGAAATTATGCAGGAAGTGCCAGTATATTCTGTCCCCTTTACCATATTCCATTGCAGGGACACATTACATCCCCCCATTTTTTAAAATTGATTTTCTTGACCACTAGAGGGCACAATGGAAGCCTTTTGTTTAAAACAATTTATGAAAAGTTTCAGGAATGGGGTTGATGGAGCAGTGTAGTCTTCCAAGTCCAGGAATGGGCAGGTGCCGCTCCAAGACCTCTGGAGG